AAAAAAAAAAAAAAAAAAAAATATCCAATTTATACTTATTATAAATGCAATAAAATATTCTTTTCTTATTTATATATTTTTTATTCGCTATTTTTACATTCTACATTTTTTCCATAACATTATATAATGCAGATTATTTTCAATCAAAGTCTCAAGTAACAATTTCAAAGTCCTCGAATCCTCGAAACATAAAACAGTGTATACAAATTGTTTCGATCGTGAACGTCACAATAGCGGTTTAAGGTTCACTGAATAATTGTAATAAATGTTGGTCACTAAATTGCGTCATCTCCGCAATGTTCTTTCTATCGTCTCTGATGAATCGAGTCGTAAAAAACGAATCTTTACGCTCTTCTCATTCCTGAATTTTTTCGTTGCATCAACACGCCAACTTCTTAAACGATTGTATATTTCAAAACGGTAAGTCTTCTTTTTTTTTTTATCCTCGTGCTGCGTGGGATTCGCGATTATTATACATCGTTTCGTTCAATTTTATATTCGATTAAATATAACCGACAACGAAACGTTTTCCATGTGAAATGTAATTAATCGAACGTAGACGAGAGATTTTGCAAAAAAACAAAAACGTTGAAATTCAATATTGTCAGACAATTTCAATTTTTGATCAACTTCAAGCGAACTTTGCGCATAATTGGATATTTTTTTTTTATATTTTTTCTAGAATGGAAAATTAAAAATTGAAGTTTATTGAAAGATTTAAAGTATTGTAAAGAGTGAATTTGATATATTTCAATATCCAATCGATTAATTAAACACGAACGAGATGTAATAAATGCAAAGACGTCAGAAAAGTAATATAAAAGATTCATTAAATAAATAATATTAGATGTTTGCATATGAAATGATCGATTCTAAAATTATTCAGAATTTAACAGTTAATAAATTTTTCATTGAAAAGTATAATTTGATGTTGATTAACATTTCATTCGAAATACTAAATATTAATATATTGGTATCAGCATCAAATATTTTTAACATTTAAACACAGCTTTCAAAAAGTATTTATTTATCAAGACCTCCTATTAATATATTTTTATAAAATATCAGAGTTTTCGACATTCTTTATCACACTCAACGCTCGGTTTCTATAATGCTAGCGAAATCAGTTCTTAAATTTCGCGAACGAATGCGAGAACATTCCCCATAAAGATACACGTTCACGAAATAGATCAAATCTAACGTAATGCAAAATAATATAAAACAATATTTTTTTCAAGATTAACACTAAGGATTTTCAATAGATTTTTTGCAATTGAATAATTTCCCTTCTTTGATTTTCTTTTTTGTATTCTTCGAAGTTTTGATTCGACGCATCAACTCGATCGAATTTACATTAAATTCAAAATTTCAGTATAAAAATAATATATATATTGACTGCTTTCTTTAAAACTCTTCAATTATCAAATATTTTTAAATTCAAATACAAATCCTCGAATATGTTCACCATTTATTTTCCAAATTTAAAATTACCAAACAATTTTATAAATAATCATTCATGGAATAAATTCCAAAGAAACTTTCTACAAAGTTATCGAATATTACAAATCACGTATTATAAAATATCTGAATCTTCGATATTCTTTATCACATTTTATCTCGGTTTTATCGCGGCGCGTATAGCAAAATCGGCTCTAAAATTTCGCGAACGGATGCGTGAATGTCTCCAATCCAGGATACACGATTACGAAATAGAGGAGTTAGAAGACGACCAACGATTAGTCAGCAGAGCGACAAGTGTGTTTGCGACGGGACTCGACGTTCTCATCGTTTTTCCTTCTCCTTCCTTTTCCACCCACCCCCACGGCTCTTTCCAAGTAAGTCCATCCACCCCCTTCTCGCTATGTTACCGAGCTAGATGGAAAAGATATACCGTGTCTCGCGTATACTCAGAAGTTAACATTCAGCGAGTTCCAACTGAAGATAAGGGAACTGGATTCGCGGTCAACCACGAGATCGAGATGACGACTTTTTTAACCCTCTCCAAATAAATTTTTCTTTCAATCAATGCGATGAAATATATAGTATTAAATTATAAATTTATATTGATTTTTTTTGATATATTAAAATATTAATAACTCAAATGTTTCTGTAATATCTTTATCTCAATAATAAGTTCTTGAAAATAAAAATTCTACGTTTAATTTTATTAATTAAGTAAATAATTTTCATATTTCTCAATAATGTCAGTATTCTAATTTTATTTTTTACTTGATTCTAAAATTTTATATTTGATACTAATAAAGTGGTATTTTAATAACCCTCACGTTTCGTGAAATGTTAATGATGTCAGCATTCCAATTATTTCTTACCTCGTAATAAAATTCTACACTTTAGATTTTTTTTTACACACATAGATAATATAATATCTAATCCCCGAGACTCTTAATCTCTTTAAAATATCTATATTCCGATCACTAACAACGAATCAATTCATTTCATCTTATCATTCTCCTTTACATTATCAGCAAATATTTATTCCTTTCCCCTATAAATAATCTTCACTTCTGCTTCAACAAAGTACAGTCACGAAAGCCACTATTTTACAAGAAAATTTTCCTAATTTTGATTTTAATAAAAGTTCGTATATTTTATATATATATATATTTATTATACATTATTTATTTTCGATGGAAAATCTTTTCGAAGAAACAAAGTTAATTCTTAAAGATTCAGCGTTTATTTTGCTTATTATTTTTTACATTAATAAAGTAAAAATTTAAAATCTGAGTATTCTATATTACTCGTTTCCTAAATAATATAATTAAAAATATGCTATTTTTTTAAATTATTAATATAGAAAAAACCATTGTATTTCTTAGTGATAAAATTCTACGAATGAATTTTCATTTGAAATGATTTTATGTTTTTATAAGGATTGAAAATATTAAAAATATATTCCAAAATTATATTTAAAAATATGAAAAAAACAAAAAAAAAAAAAATCATTGAAATTTAAAAGTTCATTTCATTCTCTTAAAATGACATTCCATCAAAAAATTCCTTTTATACCTTTCGAAAAATTCACGATTTTCGATCATTGCATTATCTATCTTTTTTTCCTCCCTCCCTATGTACAAAGATTTTTTCGACCGACTGTACGTACATCTGCATTCGTAAACGAAACGTCATATCCTTCGTATGACGCATTGAGAAATGGAAAAGAAGAAAAAAAGGATTGCGTATCGTTTCAGAAAGTATATTACTCATTCGACACGTGGCCATTGTGTTCCACGTCACGTAATGCGAACGGAAAAATCTCGTACATCGACCAATGTCGCGGAAAAAAAAAAAAAAAGAAACGAAAGAAAGTCGAATGGTCCCAAGTAGGATTGCTCACCTACACGTTTCGAGATTCACCGGAAACCAGGTTCCTCCACCTCCTCGTCCGAAGAGGCGCGAGTGTCTCTCCTCGTTTCGTAATTCTTGGGCAAATAATAGCACCGAAAACACACATCGGGATGTGTGAAACACCTTAAAGAAACTCCGCATCCAGTTCATGGAATTTGTAAAACCTTAAACAATGAGAACGAAGAGGGACGGAGTTGGAAATTCACACCGGTGAGATGGGCGAACGGTTTTCAGTGAAAAAGAGGGCAAACTGGTAGTATATCGAGAACGTGTTAGCGTTAGTTCCATCAATGTGATGAAATATTAAGTGGTTGATGTTTACGTAAGAAACGGTAAACGTCCGTCAGGGTAAACGGCCTATTTAACGAATATTTAATGACGAGATGAAAGTTTTTGAATTAATATTGAAATTTTCCTTTTATCGATCTTTGATTCAGCTTCTTAGCGAATTTTATAACAAATGAAATGGAGGAATTACACTGTTTCTATAAAAGAGAAAAAAATAAAATATTAGTCATTTAAAATGAATCTTCGTGATGATTCATTGAATAAAGATTAAATATCCAATTTTATTTGCTTATAGTGTGAATTCATATAATAATCATATATATAAATTAATATAAGTTTAATTTTCTTTCATGTACAATTGTTACATTTTTTTAATTATTGAGAATACCACTGGCTTATAATTAATTGTCCCATATTAATCGCATTTTTTCTAAAAATATTAAAAAGCATTTAATTTCTTTAATTTTTTACATGCAAGTTCTTCATTTTGAAAATATATGAAATTTTTATTTACGATTATTATGAACGATTGAACAGATTATTTTTTATTCTTTTCCTCCATACAAATGTATTTATAAAATAGAAATTTTTTAACTTTTCATGTAAAAAACTCATCTAAATATATATTATCGATGTAATAGCGACTAAGACAGGGAAACGTATTACTCTTGCTGTTCTTGATCTTTGGCTCTGAAAAAAAATGAAATTTTCCATAATCTTCTCATAAATAAAAAAATAAATAATAATAAATATAATAAAAAAAATTAGAAAAATATTAGAATGTTAATATAAATGTTAACGACAATTATAGTTTATAATAATTATTGTTAAATTAATTAAACACTAAAATTAATTCTATATTTTTATTTCCACTAAGTATTTTGCTATATTTGCAAACAATATACGTTAAATTAAGTTACTTCCTCTTCATTAAACCTTATCGTTTAATATTCTAAACAAGACATATGAAAAATGCAACTACTGATACTTTCCTGTAATGAAACGTGCTCAAACTATCCAAGAAATTTAAATATTCAATTTAATTTGAATATTTGATTCGTTCTTTTATTTCCTTTTTTTCATTATTATTTTTTAGATCACGTGGGAAAAAAACGAGCTTTCAAAAATCTTTTCTTCAAATTTCGCTTTTTTTTGTCTTTTTGCATAATTAAAATATTTTTTATCGCTTAATATACAAGATAATTCGTAATTTAAAGAATAATTCTAAAACCTATAACAATAAACAGAATTGGAAAAAATATTTGTTAAAACTTATTTTTTGAGTTTTATTATTTGACCAATTAATTTTTCATCAAAGTGAGATAACTTTATATCTATTATATCTACATTCCATTCTTCATTGATCTACAATAACATAAAGTTAAACTACTTCAAAAATAATTTTATATATTCATTCTAATTTTCAGAATCATCAGAATCTCCTTTAATTTTCTATCAATCTCTTTAAAACATCCTTTATCCGTAATTTATTATTAACTTTATTTAGTCTTTCAAATAAATAATATTTTTCAAAATTGTTAGTTTTAGAATATATTTAAAAATTTCATAGATAATGATATATCATTCGCGAGTGAATTTTTATTGTCCAACAGTTCGATAGGAATGCAAATTTTTATTGTCGAATGGTTGTTGATAGCGTTGTGGATTATGCATTTAAACATAAATAAAATATGCACGCCGGAAATTGTGTCAGATATTCAATGCTTCTACGCTTGTCCTCATTAATGGAAAATCGGATCGAGTTCTTTAATATCGTGAACTGTTTGCATACGTACATGAGAAAACTTCTATTTACCGATAAAAATTTTTAAAAGTTCATGAAAATTTCAATCGCCGCGGCTGGAAAAGTTTCTGACGTGAAAATCTAATTACAATGGAACACTTGTTAAGAAACTTTGGAAAAATATCTATTTTTCTTTGAACTTTAAAATGGATTTCAATTTTAAGTGTTTCGAAAATCAATTGTAAATAATTAGATATTCAAACAAATTTTTCTTGAAAACGAAAATATTTTCATTATTTTTGACTTACATATAAGCATGCAAGAAACAAGTGTTACCCTATATTTAATTTAAAATTAAAATTTGCAAAAAATGAGTATAATTATTAATATTAAACTATAAAATCTGAACAAGATCTCGTATAAATACAAGATAAAGTTTCTTATTATTTTGTATTAAATAAAATTAATATGATTTTTAAAAAATGAATCATCAAGTCCAAAAATTCAAAATTATAGGGCAGTGATTGATCCATTGTCAAGACGAATTCCGTTACGATATTTTAACCAATTTCAGGTGGTTAATTATATGTCAACGAAATAATGTAATAATAAGTTATTGCCCTCCTGTGCAATAGGTGTAATAAGGAAATTCTCAACTTCGCCAACTTGCGCGCAACTCAATCCCAACGCGCCTCCCTTCACGATATCCAGGTAATTCGCGATATTGCAAATACCTTGGTACAGTTTAAAACGCTTGTCAAAGTTGAATCGATTGCCGAGAGATTGATTCAACGAGCAGAGAATTGCGACTAGTGCCATTACGGTCACCGATAATTTACGATTGTTACGTGTATAATCGGTTTGAAACGAGAGAATGGCACAAAGAGAGGGTATATATAAGACCTTTATTCGAAAGTAGATACTGTATTTGTTTCGATGAGTTGACGAAAAAATATTAATCAATGTGGTTAAGTTAAAGCACAAATTCGTCCGGATAGAAAATGGATACTTAAAAATTTTTTTTCTAAGGGAACAATGGTTTCTCAATAATGGTAAGAATTATTTACTTGATAGAAAAGATTATTCTCTGTTGGAGAATACGAATATCGATAACAATATTATTCTTTTAATATGTTTTAGTTTTGATCGTGTACCTTAGCTGCCATATCTGTCAATATCATAAATTTCATATTCTTCGTTCCATAATTACCAAATACATCTTAATTAACTATATCATTGAGATAAAATCATATATATTTACAATCACGTGAAAATTTAGATATTTGAATCAATTTCAATAAAAATCAAGAGACGAATGTTAACATTTACTGATAAAAATTAAGAAACAAATTCATATATGCGAATATATTTATATTTTTAATCTTTTGAGAAACAGTTTATCTATATATCGATAAACAATAAATCCCCTATGCTTGCAAATTCGAATATGCTTGTAAATAAAGAGCAAGTGAAAATATAAATTTGCGAATTTTTTAATTTGTTTCTTAATTTTCTCAGCAACTTTTACATATAATATAATATAACTTTGACAAACGATCAGCCAGATCATAATATTTTATTTTAAAATTCACTTCAGAAACAGGGCTTCCTTCGTTTTACTGTAAACATGTTACGCAAGAAAAATTATTAACATAGTAAACTCGTAACTGGCCGTTTATAAAAAAAAAAAAAAATATCGCCAATATAATATTGGTCGAATTGCGCAAGATCGATACCGAGTATAGATCTCTATTTCATATCACAGCGTTCTGTCCAACGTGACGTTTCACAAGGGGTGAAAAACGGTAATACACACGGGTCTACCTTTACTTTCTCCAATATCAATTATACACGGTTGCCTATCGATCTTTGGCCATCGACGAGCAAATCAGGCCGTGGCTAAAAATCGGGGCACGCGAGCACATGGAGCGGGAAAGGCCGCATTTGCGGTTCGTGGTACATTGGTAATCCCATTCTCCGTTTTGCTACCGTGAAATCATAACCCTTACTCGCCATCATTTCACTAGTGATCACTTCGATTTGGATGTTTACCTCGGATTTTAGACCTTTAGATCTAAATTTATTTCTATAAATTCTATATATAACTCTTAATTCTGTAATTATATTATTAATGTGTATGCTGTTTGTATTCTTTAAATTCTCTGAAATCTAAGAGAAAGAGACTTTGTGTAATATAATAGTATTTTAAATAGA